CTAGCAAGTCCTGAGTAACTGGCCTTGACGAGGCCAACGGCGCCCGCGGCCGACTCCAAATGACCCACGTGCATCTTTGAAGCCGTCATCGTAACAGCACAGCCCAGCCGAGCGAGTGCAGAGACCTGCCATGTCCCATGCAGTGTCAATGCAGCTTCAAAGAAGTCAGGGAGCGTTTTGGATTCCTTGCCTCCACGGGATCGCCAAGAGGCGTGCCCGTGCCATGCAGCTCCACGGCCGTGAGGCTATCGGTGGTGATAGAGGCACTTGCGCATGCCATGCGGATGACGCGTTCCTGCGCCAGCGGGTCCACGGAGGACATAGGCTTCCTGAGCTATTCACAGGTGCGACCCAAGAAGCAGGAAGCAGGCTCATAATCGCTTTAACGTATTCAAAGCTTCTGCGTGGAGTTCTGGTTCACTGCAGAGCCCAAGAGCTGCGCACGAGAGGCCATGGAATGGCCAGAAGCCGCGGAGCGCAGCAGGAAGAGCGCGCCGCCCTCCCCTCGGACGTAGCCATCGGCCAGCGCAGAGAACGTGTGACACCGGCCGGAAGCACTCAGCATCCCAGCTCGTCGGAGGTTCTTGAAAAGTTGCATGTCTTCCCCAAACAAGTTGACGCCACCCGCAACTGCAAAAGACAGCTGCCCTGTGCGAGCTTCCTGCATGGCTTGGTGGACCGCCACCAGAGCCGAGGAGCAAGCGGTGTTGACAGTCACTGCCGGACCCTGCAGATTGTAAGCGTTGGCCACACGGGCGGCCAGGGCACTGAGAGAGGAGCCGATTGCCGCATAGGCAGAGGCCCTGGTGTCAGACACGACGGGCTGCCAGGCACCGATATAAACTCCCACGCGCTCCGGCTCAGCCTTGGCAGCCTCCGCAGCTTCGGCGGCGTCGTGCCACATCTCCGCCGCCAAATGCAAGGCGAAGGCGTGCTGTGGATCCATGGCAGCGGCCTCAGCACCTTCGACTCCAGCAGCCCCTGCCGCCGTCAGGGCGGTGCGATGATCAAACTTGTGCTGAAGGAAGGCTGCCTTGGGTCCCTCCTTGGGGGCTGCGGCAAAGGCGGCATCCTGCCAGANNGGGCCTGCAACTCACTCCTGAATCCCTGCAACCGGAGCTTCGTCCTGATCATCCTTCAGCAGCATGCTCCAGAAAGCGCCAGGTGTGTCCACAGCCCCGGGAAAGCGAAGCGCACATGCCAAGATCTCAAAGTGAAGCTCCTCCGGCTGGTGGCAAGGGGTTTCTGGGAGAGAAGGAAAGTTGGCTGAGGGCAGTAGCTCCTGCACCTTCACTGTCTTTGGCGGACTAAAGGTCTCTGACATCTCATCCGCACCCCAATCCAAGAGACCATCTATGTTGCTGAAGCGGTAGAGGTCGTGAGCTGCCAGGCCCGGGAAGAAGGGCCGCAAGGCCTTCCGGAGCTGTCTATCAGATATGTTGTGGCTCATGAAAAGCAGAATGGTCCTGCTGCCTCTGCAAGCATAACCAGCTGCTGCGAGGCAATGCCCTGGACTGCGAAGCTTGTGGCGTGACACCTCTAGCGCTCTTGCATCTAGAGTCCGCCCAGCAAGAGATCGGAGGCACGAAGCGAATCGGCGAAGGACTAAGAAGCCTGAATTCTCTCTTCAAAGGCCAGGGCACAGCTCCCGACCGCCAAAGCTGAAGCCCTGGAGCGCCTGCGAGAGCTGCCTGCGGAAGCCCACCCCCAGGCCAGCACGCTGCTGCCGAAGGAACCTCGCAGGCTGCGGGCTGCGGGGTTAATGCGTAGAAGCGTAAAAAGCTCTTTTATGACGAGGAACGGAGCAGCCCGCTCTCCACGACGCATGGAGCAAGCATAGCGGAGCCCATCTGAGAACGTGGCCTGGCCGCATGAAAAAAAGCTGATGTCAATGAACATTGACACGC